GGAGGGAGGAAGGGATAGAGGAGGCCAGAAATCGCTACAGAGGGAGGGCGGTGAGAGTGACAGGGAGGATGTCCTCGAAAGCGCCAAAAGTAGCCTACCGTAGGTCTACTTAATGTATTCATGGATCACAGTCAAAGGTTCAGCCAATCGTAGCCCGGTTTACGCCCTGCGTGTAGTCGCATGTGTGTGTATGTCTAGATCTAATACATTGCATCTAGATATCTAGATCAAGATAAAAAAATCATGAAAGTATTGAAAGTAGATTTCTCCTGCAGTGGATATAGCGCACGCCAAAAGATAAGTGTATTTTGTGCACAGTGTCTAGATGAGATCTAGAAACGAGATCTAGATCATCTAGAAAATCGAGATCAAGAAGAATCATGAAATGAAAGTAGAATCTAGATCTGTGATATTTCGATAACCTACTGAATATTGAAAGTGGATTTTTTTTTTTGCAGTGCATTGTAGATTCTAAGATCTAGATCTAGGCTAGATCTAGATCTATATGTGAATCTTAGATCGAGATCAAGAATGATGAAAGTATTGAACGTGGATTTTTTCCTGCTGTGAATAGATCTAGAGTCTAGAACTAGGCTGTCAGTGAATCTAGATCGAGATCAAGAATCATAAAAGTATTCTTGAAAGTGGATTTTTCCTGCTGTGAATCGATCTAGAAATCTAGGCCATCTGTGACGCCTGTCGGTTGTTAAAAATGTGAATTTCTAAACTTAGATCTATCTATGGGCCTAGGCTCCTTCTTTCAATTATATTCTAGATTGTAGATTAGGTTCTTCTAACAATTGGCATGAAGGCCTAACTATTTTTTATAAAGTGATTGAGCTGGAACTTTAGGAGAGGGGGAAGAAGTCTTACCCCTAGAGGTAGTCAAGAGGGGGTGCTACATGGATAAATTCAAGGTAAAATATCTATGTTTTGTGTCTTTCCCGTTTTCAGTCTTTTTCCTCTTCTTAACTTTCCTAATACTTCTTCATTAATATTCCGTTCGTAGAACGAGTACTTTTCCTATTTTTAATTAATGAATACTGCACGTAAACTTTAAAATGTCGTTATTCTGCAACAGTGTAGTAATATTTTTCTTCTTTTTTTTAAAAAGAAGAATATCACCCACACTAAAACCGTACAGGGGCTGCAAACATTTTCACCTCTCTGTCGTTTGTATTATTATAAGATAGGAAATGATACACATAAAATGGGGGAACAACGTCTTTTCTTCTTCTCCTCCTCCTCCTCCTCCTCCTCCTC